GATGTATATATATATATATATATATATATATATATATCTACATACATACAGTGAGAGAGAGAGAGATGTCATGATACAATTCAAAATTTGGAACATTCCCAAAAATATATTATAAAATTCATTTACTATTATTTCAACATCTTGATAATGTTGTATATAATAAGTGTTATCAAAGAACAAAATGATCTTTGGAATATTTATAGGATCATTTTAATTCCAAATTATTTAATATAGCCAATTTAACTATTTAAATCCTCAAATTTAATTCAAGGTAGTCAATTAAATCATCAAATATAATTAAAAAATGAAAGAGACTATTTGAATAATACTTAAGTTGTTTGAACAATAAATTGAAAATATTTATAATTCAATACTAAAGTAACCTTCTAGGATTTTGGCATTCATAGTATCACACACTCACATTTCGACTCTAGCTCTGCTTTGAGCTTTCGAATCTTCTCATCGGATATTTCCATAGCCTTTTGCAATTCTTGTATTGACTTTCTTCCATCCTCTTCTAATTTTCGTCTTGAAGCTTTCTCTTGCCTCAAATTCGTCTCAAGCTTTTCTAATTTTTCATACAAATCACAATGTACCTACAAAGTCACAAAAAAATATATAATGGTAAACTTTCAAGGGTAAATGATCACAACTTTCATTATATTATATTGCTTAAGTGTATTCATTTTGATCTTATCATTTTCATGTATTTAATTTAGCCTCTTAACCGAGCATATCTAAATCAATTTAGTCCTCACAATTAATTTTTTGGTCAAAATTTAATGTAGAGAAGCATTTCAAAAGAATATTTTAAATTTATTAAAGACAATCCCATTAGTTTGATTTAAGATTGATCTTAAAAAGTCAAAATTTTTCTACTAAAATCTTGCCTCCACTAATTTCCATCTAAAGAAACAAAAAATTTAATCGCATAACCAAATTTTTCAATATTTATTTGTCATGATTTAATAAGTCGATGCACTCTAAAATCACTGAGATTAAGATAAACAAAAAAAAAACATATAAATCATTTTGATTGTTTGCTTTCATTTCAGACATGCAGAAATGAAACATACAGTGATATGAGATATTTTGTATTGAGAAAAATAAATACCTCTTCTGATATGTCTTTGAACTCATCATCATATGAGCTATCAAGTTTTTCCTTCCGTTTAGATAAATGCTTCGTCGAGCTTTCCGGATAATCTTTGTTCTCCTTTTGCTTTTGTTGTCGGCACAATGCTACTTCCTATATAAACATGAGAGACAATGTCATTGATCAACTTAAATGTCTAAATGATGGATTTGTCCAAGATGTACCTTGGTTTGTGCAAACATTTGTCTTGTAAAAAGTTTTCTTCCATTGCTCGCAACAACAAAGTCGCTAAGAGAGATCAACCGTTTTACTTGTCTCTCTTTCTTAACCTCATCCTCGGTGATGTTATCAAAAACAACAAATCTTTCTTGGCATAAGAGAATTAAGTTCTACAAAATTATTATCAAGAAAGAAAAAGTTAGAGAACTTATGAAATTAACCAAAAATAAGTTTTTGAAAAATAAGTTTTTGAAGTTCTAGCAAAAAAGAGTAATAATTGGTAGCTTCATAATGTGTACAATCATTGATATCGGACAAGGTAAAGGAAAAAACAGAGGTAAAATATTACAGATTAAAAGCAAAACACAAAATAAGATATGGCCTTGAAACACCACTCGGACTGGCCACTCCATGATAATTAAATCAACAATCTAGATTACACAAAAGAATGTCTTAGTAATTAATCTATGTCTCTGACCGTCCTCTATTACGACAAACATATTTATAACAGACCAACCAAATATTTGCCTGAAGTATAAGTCCATAAATAAGACCAGCTATTTAAACTAATTACAAGAACTTCACAGACACATTTAATATTTATTATTTTGCTCCGACTCAGGCTTCTAATTTGCCTTAGCCTTTACCGCTCCTGCATCAATCAATTGATGGCAATATCTGGCCAAGCATATATAGCACACATCTTTTTAAAGCATTAGATAAATATTCATCATTCTAAGGGCATCTAGAGTGTCATTTCAACTCATGTTTAGAATAACTTTCTATGTGATAATTTCCATTTTTCATTCGAGTTAGATGAAGCCTTCTGAGCTATGCAAGAAGGTTGTCAGAGTTATGAAGTTGATCAGCATCTTCATGAGGCTACTCTAGATGTCATCCTAAAGCATTCCATTTTGGAGCATCTCTTTAGACTGAACTCAGAAGCATCTCACTCAATCCATTCAAAATGTATCTTGTTAATGGATAAAACAGGTGAAGTTCGAGTGAGCTTTACTTGACATGAACTTGGCTTAAAATTAAAATCAAGTCAGTTCATTACAAAAGATTCAATTTTGATCCAAGTCAAAATATTAGTTTACTCAAAATTTTAAATAATTTAAAGGTTCATGCAAAGATTGAGTGACATAGATGTAAAACCTGAAATTTAAGTCTTACATATGCAAATACGTAGGAAATGATTGGTACGTTATAAATCTTCCTTCACTTTATAAAGACTTCTTATATTTTATATTATCCGTAATTTCTTAACTTTCTCTGTAACTTTTTTTTATTGGCGTAGTTATTCTTAACTTTTTCTGTAACTCTTTTTTTTATTATTGTCATAGCTATTCTACTGGTAGAGGAAAAGCGCGCCATTAAAGTGAGGATGCTGGGTGAGGATATATGCCATGGAGTCGCATTTGGAGAACATTATGGATGTGGCTTATCGTGAAGTAAATAGCACAGCTAAAAGTGAATAAAGGTCATTTGGAGAGAATAAAAAACTTTTAGAAAGCAATGAATATGCCTTTTAAGCTAACCTTAAGGGGGTGGTCCGCATATAAAATTATAACATAATTCACATCATACATCATATTAACAATAGAATCAACAATAGAATCAACAAGTTATTAGATGATTTTGGCTAACTTCCAAGAGAGTGGTCACTAATGATGAATTTCTAAATCAATCAATAATGTATTTCAAACACTATGAATTCAATTGAGTTGGCATATCAACATTTTAATTGTTGGGTTTTTTTACTATAGTTTCATAATTTTTTAGGGATGTTAATAATGGTTGACGAAGAATAATTTTGATAGATTACAATATTAGCATGAAAATTTTATCTTTTCATGGGTAGTCCGATATTTTTTTATCAATCATAAGCTAGAGTACTATGATATTATTGATATCATTGAATTTCATGGTGATTAAGTTTGGGTTTATTAGAAAATGATGAGGATAAGTTGGCTTTTTTAAGATGAAATGTTCATATTCTTAAGTGCAATATAATTTGAGTAAAATTGTACATATGTGTCATAGCCTAAAAAAATCACTAATGCAAAAACAAGTTGCCAAACTTCTATTTAAAAATTGTTTCAAAGCAAAAAAAAAAATTGCAATAAATATGTAACTAATTAACAAACAAAATACCTGAAAACTCAAAGATCAAATATTAAAAAAAAAAGAAAAAAAAAAGTTACATGAACAAACCTTTAGCGGCTCTGGACAAACTTTATTAATCCACTCACTCAAAGTTTGCTTCGTATTTTCATGTACATCCCCGCCAGTAAGAACTATAATCAAATAGTCAACAATCCTATCACCAAAGAAGGTTTTTATATATCGGATAGCATCCTCGTCCTCATCTGTAAAGCGATTATGCATAGCGAATACCATGAGTACAGCATTGAGACCATCCTTGGCCAGATCTATGCACTTCATTATCTCTCTATCAGCGAACTCAGAACCAGCTGACAAACCAACTAATCCTAAAGAGGAAAAAAATTAACAGCTCAGCCTCCAGTAAAAGCTCTACTAGAGACCACGAAAAGGGGAAAATTTGAAGAACCCAAATGCAATGGTGGAATTAGAAGCAAAACTGTAAAATAGCAAAATGGATGACATGCAATTAAGAAAAGTAAAATGCTCTGTATGGCCAATACCAAATAACTCAACCCAACTTAATATTCACACATGATTCACTTTAGATCAGATTCAAATGGATCAGCCCAAAGATCAGCTTGACCAACTTAGTGAATTGACTACACAACACACCACATTAGTCAATTCTTTAGTTTGTCAGTCCTACCACGATTACTCATCAACTCAGCGGCCCAACTACAATTGTTTGACAGCTCAAAAGCCTAGGCATGACTGTTCATCAAATCCGAAAAGTTGAAAAATGTTCCTACAATTGGATAGGGGTTGCTAAGCTCAGCATCCTATCAGGCCACAGGACACATGACATTTGTTGCATTTGTTATTTCTTTCATATGCCGCATGCAAAATTACAAGTGTCAACCAAAAACTACAATGGAAGGTCAAGGTTAAGCTCAAATTTTGCAATCTTAGATATTTAATCCAAGACACACTACCATCCTGAAATTACTTTTCCTCTATCCCAAAGTTTCACTCTCTACATCTCTCTTTTATTCTCTCTATTCCATTCTTTTCCCTATTCGAGGTATCGTTGTCTAGGTGATTTGAATTCACAGATATTCTAGGATCCAACATGCCCCTTGTTTCTTAAACATGTCATAGGTTCATATTGATTTCTTCCCTTTGACAGTTAGCTTGATATTTAGGGAATAAAAATACCCTTGCTTCTAAATTGCCATTTCATATTTCCATCTTAATGCAAGACATCCCATAACTTGCAAATTCAAAGTGGTTGTTACATCCTAAAGGTAATGAGCATCGTTCTGCTGGTGAATCAAGATGTGTAAGTGAATCAAGAATATCACAGGCATTTAAAGCTGTTGCTAAGGGATAAAGTTCTTGAAAAGGGCAAGATTTACATTAGTAATAGAAATTAGGCACTTTTTTAGGTTTAAATAAATAAATATATAAAACTACTTACAACTTCTCAGTATTAATTGAGGTGGTATTGCTTCCTCCTAATATATATGAAGAGAGGTTCAACGCCTACACTCATTGAGTTTTTTTTTTTTTTTTAACGAGTAATGTTGAAATTGAGTCAAGTAACATTTTTTTCGATTTTCTAATCCATAAAAAATGAGCATGTTAGTGTGGTAAAACTTTATATTACCTTTTCATCTAAAGAAAAGGTAGAAAAAATCACTAGCCCTAATTAAAGAAATCTCAGCTACTCGGTTATTCATTAGAATGTGCCCCTCCATGTAATCCAAAATACAAAACTCCTTAAATTTTGGTTGACGCTTAAATCACTTCTACAAGAGCTAATGATAAATGAAAACAATATTCATATAGTAAAAAACTTATTTACAACTCAAATTAGATAAAAATAACTGATCACCCACCAAGCACAATAACTATAACTAAAATAAACAGACAAAAACATCAACTTATTCCCATAAACTTTAGAAACTATCTGCCCATACCATCAAAACCCTTAACACAAAGGCTGTAATTTTTCAAAAAACAATAATAATGAAATAAACACAAAGACAGTAGATGATTTTGGATGTTAAAATCAGCTGGGAGATGCTTGTCTACAAAGCTTATCAAGCCCATCCTCTCCGTTCCCAACCCATTCTAAGCATAAACAAGTTAGGAAATTAGAAGTTGGAATCAGCTCAACCCGGTACATTTGTAGTTTTCATTTATCAATGAAGCTCGAACTATCCACATTAGTAAATAATAGTAGTATCAACGAATAAAGAACTCAGAAAAATACATTCAAAAACACTTGAGGCATCTTTGGGATCTTTTGTTTTTCATTTTGGTTTTTTTTGTTTTTTAAACATATTTTTAGTGTATTTTTTTTTTAAACAAATTAATGTCTTTGAAAACACTCAAAACAACTTTTAGATTAAAAATTATTTTGAGTGCTTTTAAAAGCAATCATAATTAACTTAAAAAAATCGAACATTTTATCTTTCAAATCAAAACATAAACTTAATAAAATAAAATAATAAATAAATGTGATCCCAAATGGTCCCTTAGGGAACAAAAAGTAATCTCTTGATATAAAAGAAAAAATTGAGGTGGTAAATTCATAAAATGTTTCGTAAAATATTGTTTTTCATTAAGTTCAGTCTTTCAAAAAGTCTTATTAGAAAACTAATATGCAAGTCACACCACAATCCAGAGGCAGTCCATGCATAACTAAAGCAATAAAGCTTGATTTTCCATTGAAAAAATAAAAGAAATGCACAATACCATTTACAAAATACTCTTTAAGTGTAACGACATGTAGTGAAACAATACAAACTTTTGCTGCTTCCAAAATTCAACATTCAACGATCAAACATATACACCAATTTTAATAATATTTCCTCATACAAGAAATGAATAACTAAAATAGTTATAAATAAAAAGAATGATTAGTGTTTTTATGATGTAAAAACCTCAAAAAGGTTGCCTTTACAGTAACTAATCAGAATGCAAATCTCAACTGATATTGAATATTATTCTCGAAGATATTCTTCAGAAAATGATCAAAAATAAAAATTGACATTGTAGACAAGGTTACCAAACATTCATCTTTTTCAACGATCTAATACAGTTATATTAGAGAAAATGATCAAATTGGTCCTCAACTATTTATGAGAGACTATTTTAATCTCAGACAATACAAAAAGACCAAATTTAAACTCATAATCATAAAAAAGACCCTAAAACTCTGTTTAATTTAGTAAGTGTTTTAATAAATTGAAATTTAATAGTAAGTGTTTTAAGATGTCTTTTCTTATTGATTTTTTTATTAAATAGAATTCTCTGTTTATATTATTTTCTCATGTATAGCAACCAACTAACATAAAACAGAAATGGATTAAAATCATGCAAATTGTGAAGCAAGCTATTTATTGTAATAAATAATTTTATTTTACATTTTTGTTATTTTAATTCTATTGTAACAAAAATTTAAATTAATGTATTTTATTATAATACAATTACAATAAAAAATATCAATTAAAATTAACTATTAAAATAACTCGCTCGACAACCAAGATAATCTCAATATACTTCTGTTGAATGTGAAGTTAACTATAGTATACTATTAATAAGGTAACTAAAACATTATATTTAGGAAGAAAATGAAAAAGAAAATATAGTCCTAAATTATCATATTTTTAACACCACTAACTTCAATTGTCATTCGACTTCATAGCATAATTATTTTAAACACTGTTTAAAGAAACTAGAAGTTAAATATGACATTTTACATAGTTTGAGACTAAAATCACCGCTCACAAATAGTCAGGAGATCATTTTAGTTATTTTCTTTTTTTATAGAGTAAAAGTGAAGCTTAAATTCTAAATTTGTCAAAACTTTTTCGATACTGAACCCCCACGAATTGGCACTGAGCCTCTACGAATTGACCTATAAAACCTATTTGGCTCTCTAACTTTTGTACCATTTGGCAATCTAGTTTTATTCTGCATGGCAATCACATTTGACATTGTGCCAAAAAATTAAATGTCGGATTTGAAACATAAAACTTTTGAATAAAAATATCCATCACCAACAAAACTCTTACATGTTGCTAACGTTTTAGCATTTACTAACAACTCGAGTTGAATTTAAGGTCGAAAATTTATATCACACCTGTTATAGCATTGGAGAATCTTACTAAAATTAATCTAAAGCAAAGAATCTAACAGCCTTCTAACTATGTAGTTTTATAAATTTTATAGCATCAGACAAAGAATATAGTTACCAGGAGTGTCAATAACATGCACATGACGCCCGTCCTTCAAAGTAGCGCTTTTCATTTTAGAAGCACGAGTTGTCATTTGCATAGTAGCATTAGAAATGAAGGCTGGCTTTCCAAGAATGCTGTTTGCTACTGAACTCTTGCCGCTACCCCCTTTCCCCACAACAGCAAGAAAAACGTCATTATAATAAATAGGAGCTCCCTCCCAATCCTCCGGTAGATTAATCAAATTATCCTCCATTGACAGAAATAATGCAATAATCTACAACAAAAGAAAAAAAAATTACAAATGAAATAGAAAAGGTTAGCAAAGTTGTGTTTGTGGGAAGGGGGGAAAGATAAGCTTCCGTTTTTAAAACATAAATTGAAAATGGGTATAGTGGAAAAAAAATCCAAAATGGCAAATAGTAATTCACAACGAAATAAAGTTAGCAGATTATAAAATTAGGATTGGCCCTAATGTATTTTCCACAAAACAAGAAATTTTTCGCTCATTTGCAACACTATGCTTCTAAACATCCTGTCCATAGAAAGAATCACCTTTTCAGGTTTAGCAAAATTATTTGAAAACTTCTAAATTCTTAGAACTTCATTAATGTTATTTTTGATACGATGGATAGTACCAGAGGATAAAGCGTTCAGCATGGAAGCATGTGGTATGGAACTTAGTTCTCTGTTCAAGTTATAATTTATCACGATAATAAACAAACTGTTTCCCAATGGAAACCCAAATAATGCAAAATGTGCATCAGTAACCTATGTCCCTGTAGCCCAACCTAAGCCAAATAAGGCCAAAAAAAAAACAAAAGAACTTATATGTAGATTCCCTTCGGTTCATTCATGCAGCTTAAAGTAATTTAACAGTCATCATATTTGAAGTTCTTCATGGTTTCATTTAGTTACCTGAACGAAAAACTTGTTATATATAGATGCAAAGTGAAAACATAAATATAAATTACAAAAATATTTCCTTAAAATGAGCATATAAATCTACTCATAACTTAAAACATTCAACTGTAGCCCTTTACATTTTGCGGCTAATATCTAACACCCTAGCAAAACCTAACCAACTTTTCACTATATTCAAGGCTAAAATGCATTAATTTGCATTGAAACATAGAGAGACAATCAAAAAATCTAAATTTTAACAATAATCAGTAAAAGAGCCATACAGAAGCAATTGCAATTTGTAATTTAAAATAAAAAAAAAAATTCAAACTGATTCAAGTTGGCGATCTGACACAAAATGTATTGGGGGCTAAAGCAAGATGATGGGTACTGCTAACCTCCGCTAGTTTTCTTCCGGCTGAAGAATGGAGAACTTAGGTAACTCGGCAGAGTCGTGCCGAAGCATAAATAGAACGCACAGCCAATGTCAGGTGCTGAGGTGGGCGTGGTCCTCAATATTCCAAAACTAGACATGCCACAAATGGTCAGGCTCGTATATAGCAGGCTTTCCATCCCGGTCGATTCTTACACAGATGAATTGGAGCTTGCATTCAATGACTCGAAACTTTATATTTTACAGATTTCACATCCTAAATTATAATATTATGAAACGCGCACCTCCGTTAACGCCTCCATCTCCGATCAAGTTTTTTTTTCCCACAAACAGCCGGCGATCTCTGATCGGCGCCTGCGACCGCTGCTCACTGGAGACACCCGGATACGGTCGCTGCCAAACGCTGCGGAATCTTGGTATGACCGCGACATTCTTTCTCTTTTGGCCGACCTGCGCATCTAGCAGAGTAGGCTGCAATGGACGGGCTGAAACCCTACATCCACTCAATCGATATTAATTAATTGCATCTCTAGGATGGAGACCTTAACGGAGGTGTTAACGGTGGTGTGGATTTTGAAATATTATAATTTGAGATGTGCAATACATAAACCCTAAACTTTTTAGGTACAAATTACTTTTCCGGTGAAAATTTTCTAATTTTAGCTTATTTTTCTATTTAAGTTTTCAGCCTCTTTTCATTTTCCAATTTCAACTCTATAATTCAAATCCATTGCTAGTCTTGCTTCGGCCCATTGTCGCTTTCTCTCATTATATGCTAAAGCTTTTAAAGAAAGCTACATATATATCACACAACTCTTCATGTATCTACATATCTAAAGTCTAAAATTTGAAAGTTGTTGTATTTACATATCAACAACTGTCATTCTAGCCGGCTACTAAAGTTGTAACTTATATCCTAACCTCTTTGTTTTTTTTCTTTCCAGAATTTTTCATGTAAAAATCTCCAATATCTTTACCTATTCTTTATATTATCTGTGTGCATGATAGTTTTGTACAAAATTAAAAAGCTAAATATTCACTCTACATCTCAATCATTCTACACGTAGCAATATTATTTTGATTTGATGCAAAAATTTTATATGCTATAATTATAAATATGAAAATATAAGTATTAGGCTAAATATTCACTCTACATCTCAATCATTCTACACGCAACAATATTATTTTTATTTGATGCAAAAAAAATTAATGGCTATAATTATGAATATGAAAATTTAAGTATTAGTACATATATATCACACAACTCTTCATGTATCTACATATCTAAAGTCTAAAATTTGAAAGTTGTTGTATTTACATATCAACAACTGTCATTCTAGCCGGCTACTAAAGTTGTAACTTATATCCTAACCTCTTTGTTTTTTTTCTTTCCAGAATTTTTCATGTAAAAATCTCCAATATCTTTACCTATTCTTTATATTATCTGTGTGCATGATAGTTTTGTACAAAATTAAAAAGCTAAATATTCACTCTACATCTCAATCATTCTACACGTAGCAATATTATTTTGATTTGATGCAAAAATTTTATATGCTATAATTATAAATATGAAAATATAAGTATTAGGTATGTAAATGCCTCAAACTTTTGTTTAAAACAACTTTAAAAAAACCTAAATACCAAAAAATTGCAAACTAACAGCAAAAGATGCAGCTGACTTGATTCAAATTGTTTCTTTGTTGCCTTCCATTTAAACAAATGCCGTTTTTTTATGTTTAGTTATGTGTAATTAAAAACATAAATATAGACGTATATGTTATTTTTTATAGATTTATTCACAGATTTGTTTAATTAAGTTTTTTAATTAATATGTGCTTCATTAAAATTTCATTAATATAGAAATAACAAAATAATCTTCACATCATAATTACATCTCATTTATATTTATAAATTTAGCTGGCTAAAGAAAGCTGTGAAATTTATAATTTTATTAAATTTTATAATAATGTTAATAATGTAGAAAATTAATTAATTTTTAATTCTATTTTATATAAATTAAAATATGATTTGTAATTATAGTTTATTTTGTATTTTAAATTCATATCAAATTTTAATGGACATTTTATTAAACTTATTCAGGGGCTTTCAACTATACTGCTCAAGATCATAAACAAAACAAAAATATTTAATAGCTGTGAAAAGAAGTTGACTAAAATTTTTTTTATCACAATCCATTGATAGTATTGCAGACTCTTCAGTTGACCATAAGGGAATGTCATCTGAGTTTCTTTTCTTCAGCAATTTAGTATTAGCTCAATGGCCCTTTGTTAAAGCTGCACGTGAGTTAGGAACTTAGGACCACCACTATTATTAGTTTGTTCTTTTTATATATTTGTCACTATTATATCATATTTAATTAATATTTATGTATGTAAATGCCCCCAAAAAAAAAGAAATTTTCATGGTTTTAGAGATTCTACATAAGGAAAAGATGAACCTTTTCCCACAAGGAGAAATGTATACCATGCATTAGAATCACACGTGGCAAAAACTATCTAAAATTATAAAAAATTCTGCAAATTGCTATGAAAGGTAGTCACATAATAAATTTCATCCGTTGCCTATTATGCTATTCAATATCACTTTGAGATGTTTATATCAGAGCACATGACTACTTCTTTATATCTTCCATTGATAGTATTGCAGGCTCTTCAGTTGATCTTAAGGGAATGTCATCTGAGTTTCTTTTCTTCAGCAATTTAGTATTAGCTCAATGGCCCTTTGTTAAAGCTGCACGTGAGTTAGGAACTTAGGACCACCACTATTATTAGTTTGTTCTTTTTATATATTTGTCACTATTATATCATATTTAATTAATATTTATGTATGTAAATGCCCCCAAAAAAAAAGAAATTTTCATGGTTTTAGAGATTCTACATAAGGAAAAGTTGAACCTTTTCCCACAAGGAGAAATGTATACCATGCATTAGAATCACACGTGGCAAAAACTATCTAAAATTATAAAAAATTCTGCAAATTGCTATGAAAGGTAGTCACATAATAAATTTCATCCGTTGCCTATTATGCTATTCAATATCACTTTGAGATGTTTATATCAGAGCACATGACTACTTCTTTATATCTTCCATTGATAGTATTGCAGGCTCTTCAGTTGATCTTAAGGGAATGTCATCTGAGTTTCTTTTCTTCAGCAATTTAGTATTAGCTCAATGGCCCTTTGTTAAAGCTGCACGTGAGTTAGGAACTTAGGACCACCACTATTATTAGTTTGTTCTTTTTATATATTTGTCACTATTATATCATATTTAATTAATATTTATACTTATTACTGAAAATCTGAAATTTAACAATAATCAATAAAAAAACCTTACACAAGCAATTGCAATTTGTAATTTTTTTTTAAAAAAAACAACAAATCAAACAGATTCAAGTTGGCGATCTGGCACAAAATGTATTGGGGGCTAAAGCAAGATGGTGGGTACTGCTAATCTCCGCTAGTTTTCTTCCGGCTGAAGATTGGAGAGCTTAGGTAACTCGACAGAGTCGAGCCGAAGCATAAATAGAACGCCACAGCCTGGCCGTGGTCCTCAATATTCCAAAACTAGACATGCCACAAATGGCCATCCTCGTATATATTAATTAATTTCTTGCTCGATGCGCGGCCCGGGGATGGAGACCTTAACGGAGGTGTTGCCGGTGGTGTGGGTTTTGCAATATTATAATTTGAAATGTGCAATCTGTAAATAGTAAAATTGGGAGTGCTATGTCCGTAAAAAAACCCAAACATTTTTTTAGACGATGTTTAAATTTACGATTAAAAAAAAAAAAAAAAACATGTGCATACATAACACCCACTTCCTACTTATTCTTAAATATAATGCCTAAACTTTTTTAAGTAAAAATTACTTTTCCGGTGAAAATTTTCTAATTTTAGCTTATTTTTCTATTTACGTTTTCGGCCTCCTTTCATTTTCCAA